AGAGTTTTGAGGTTACTAATCTTGATTTCAAAAGAGCATTGGTTATTACCCCTTTCAAAACAGAGATCTCATGGTTGGGAGTTGGCATAAATAAAACAGTGCATTCCCAAGGTTTGGAAAAGTACACTTTATTGGCTAAAATGTGATTATAATTAGCAAAGTGACTGTGCAAAATGGCCTCCTTGTGTTCAGCATCACTGTGAGCTGGATGAGTCACCCAGTTAGCTTTCTGACAAAAACACAATCCTGGCTTTTGGCTTGTTTATGATTTCAGCATGTTACGTAGTCCTGGATGAATAAGCTAGGTCATTGATTTCTCAGTGAAGTAATTAACACGTTCAAAGGGCTATATGATTTAAAAGTGTGATGTTTAATATTAGTGTAGGTGGGGCACGGTGGCTAGCCTGTAATACCAGCCCTTTGAGAGGCCTAGGTGAGTGGATTGCCTGAGCCCATGGGTTTGAGGCCAGCCCAGGCAACCTGGCGAGACCTTGTCTCTACAACAAATCAAAAATTAGCTGGACATGGTAATGCATGCCTGTGGTTCCGGCTACTTGGAAGGCTGAGGCGGAAGGATCACCAGAGCCCAGCAGGTCAAGGCTGGGGTGGCCGTGAACGTGCCACTGCACTCCAGCCTCGGTGGCAGAGTGAGACTCCAAATCAAGAAATATACATATATTAGTGTAGAATGGGCCAATCTAGGAGTCAGGAGATTTGGACCCTGGCCTTTGACCTGCCAGTGATAGCATGACTTTGGGCCATGATGTTAGCTCTCTGAGCCTCAGTTTCCTTATCGTGTGGTGGGAATCCAGTAGTGCCCTCTTCTCCAGAGATACATCCCAAGACCCCCAATGGATGCCTGAAACCGAGGACAGTACCAAACCCTATGTGTACTATGCTGCTTTGATCCGATAACCAAGCCTGCCACTAAGTGACTAACAGACAGCTAGTGTCTATGGCGTGGACATGCCAGACACAGGTTATGATTCATGTCCTGGGCAGGATGGCATGAGAGTTCATCACACTTCTTAGAACTTAGGTGCCGGCATGGTGGCGTGTACCTGTAGGCCTAGCTACTCAGGAGGCCAAGGCAGGAGGACCACTTGAGCCCAGGAGTTCGAGGCTGCGGCGAGCTGTTTGGGCCACTGCACTCCAGCTTAGGTGACATTCAGAGGGTGACTCTCTCTCTCAAAAAAGAGTAAAACTTATGAATCATTTATTTCTGGAATTTTCCATTTAATATTTTCAGACCCCATTTGACCTCGGGTAACTGAAACTGTGGAAAGTGAAGAAACTTCAGATAACAAGAAGTGACTGTATTCGTCTTATCCTGTCACTCTCCTAAGAGTGTCATCACAATCAAGATAGATAAGGCCTGTGAAAGAGCTTTGTGACTGAAAAGCACCACACCAGTGCCAGTGTTCTTATCCTAGTGTCGTGTGTAATGTGGCTCAGTCCAGGCTGTCCTCCACGTGAGGCGGTGGAGACACAGAGAATTATACTTTCTCAGGTGGTATTTGGTCTGATTGGAAATAAACTAAGTATGCTTGAGCAGAGGTTTTGAAAAGAATAAATGTTAAGTTGTTTTGGGTTTTTTGTGAGTCAGACCCTCACTTTGTCGCCCAGCCTAGAGTGCAGTGGCACGCTCATGGCTACCACAGCCTCGACCTGCTGGGCTCAGGTGATCCTTCCACCTCAGCCTTCCAAGTTAGCTGGAACCACAGGCATGTGCCACCATGCATGGCTAATTTTTTGACTTATTGTAGAGACGAGGCCTCGCCAAATTGCCCAGGCTGGTCTCGAATCCGTGGGCTCAGGCAGTCCTCTTGCCTCTGCTTCCCAAAGTGTTGTGCATGAGCTACCATGCCCAGCTTGTTAAATTGTTGAGCACTTATTTGAGTTTCTGGTTGTGATTTAAACACATCTTAGTTTGATTGGCATTATATTGAGATACCTTATCAGGCAAATGACATACATGTAACTAGTTTGTGTGTGTGGTGTGTATGTTTATATAGGAATACACAGACTAACTAGCTAGGGTGGTGGTTCTCTGCCAGGCTTGAGTTTGCCCCCAGGGGATATTTGGCAGTGTCTGAAGACATTTTGGTTGTCACAAGCGGGAGGGTGGTGAGCCAGAGACCCTGCTATATCTCCTGTGATGGGCCGGGCTCAGTGGCTCAGCCTGTAATCCCAGCACTTTGGGAGGCCAAGGTGAGGGAACTGCCTGAGCCTGTGGGTTAGAGACCCCCTGGGCAACTTGGCAAGACCTCATCTCTACAATAAATCAAAAATTATCCAGGCGTGGTAGCATGCGCCTGTAGTTCCGGCGACTTGGAAGGCTGAGGCGGAAGGATCGCCAGAGACAGCAGGTCGACACTGGGGTGGCTGTGAGTGTGCCACTGCACTCCAGACTGGGCAACAGATACTCAAATTAAAAAAAAAAAGCCAAAAAACCCTTGCGCTCAGGACAGAGCCCTGCAACAAACTGTCCAATCTGTAGTGTCAAGGGCGCTGAGGCGAAGATTAAGCTCCCATGCAACAGAGACATTAAAAGAAGTCACAATGGGAATTATTGCTGGGTCTTTGGTGTGTTGCCCAGGGGTGAAAGAAGAAAGTATGATGGAAGGAACTAAGCTTTCTGCCCACCTTGAAGTTCTAGATTGTTTCCTACTGGCATCTTAAATGAGAGAGGCTGTATTTTCTTGACTTAAAAAAGTCGCAGCAGCTTCTTACGCTGCACCATGGCAGCTTTCTGGGGAGGGAGGCACAACCAGAGGAACCCCCCCAACATTTGCTTTAAAAGGTCAAGTATTGTAGGGAATACGGGGCATGGAAAATGCAGTAAGCTCCAGGAGTCACTGTGACTTCCCTGCCAAACTCCAGCAATTCCCCACCTTAGAAGGTGGGCATTGTCATATCCTAACTGCTTCTGAGTAGGTCTGAGAATGCTCAAAACAAGCGATGGCTGGACCAGGTGTGGTGGCTCACACCTGTCATCTCAGCACTTAGGGAGACAGACAAGAGGATTGCTTGAACCCAGGAGTTCCAGACTGGCCTAGGCAACATGGCGAGAACTTGTCTCTACAAAACAATTAAAGAATGAGCCAGGTGTGTTGGCGCACACCTGTAGCCCCAGCTACTCAGAATTATCGTCTGAGCTCAGGAGGAGGCTGTGGTGAGCTGTGATTGTACCACTGCACTCCAGCCTGGGTGACAGTGAGACCCTGATTCAAAAAAAAAAAAAGAGATAGCTGGGCATGGTGGGTGCCCGCAATCCCAGTTACTCAGGAGGCTGACATGGGAGGATCAAGTGAGCCCTGGAGGTCAAGGCCGCAGTAAGCTGTGGAGTGCCACAGCATTCCTACCTGGGTGGCAGAATGAGACCCTGTCTCTGGGAAAAAAAAAAGTGGTAAAGTAGTTTAGTCAAATATGGTGTCTGCTGTGATATGAATATCTATGGCATACTACAGGCTGAGCATCTCCAATCCCAAAGTCAGAAGTCTAAAATGCTCCCAAATCTAGAGTTTTTTGCAGGCCTATGTGATGCTCAAAGGTCACACTCTGGCCAGGTGCAGCGGTTCACACCTGTAACCCTAGCACTTTGGGAGGATCACCTGAGCCCAGGGGTTCCAGACCAACCTGGGCAACATGGCGAGACCACGTCTCTAAAAAAAAGATTGATTAAATAATTTTTTTAATAGGTCACGTTCTAAGGAAATGCTTATTGGAGTATTTCAGATTTGGGGAGTTTCAGATTAGGGATGCTTAACTCGAAATATTCCAAATGTAAAATATACCAAAATCCAAAAACATTGGAAATCTCTAACCCTCCGGACCCCAGCATCTGCAGCAAGCGACATGAAGCCTGTATACAACAGCTGGGTGTGTAAGTAAAGTGCACAAGGAGTCCTGGGAAGATGCTGCCTGTTTGTGTCTAGAAAAGCTCACTATTTTGCATGTTTAGAGTTCATCGAGGAGTCGCCGCTTGTTGGATCCCTTGGGAGTACTGCCATTTCTTTTTTTTTTTTGAGTTGGAATCTCACTGTCGCCCAGACTGGAGTGCAGTGGTTGCTCCCGGCCATCGCAGCCTCAACCTGCTGGGCTCCGGTGATCCTTCCGCCTCAGCCTTACAAGTAGCTGGAACTACAAGCGCGCGCTACCACACCAGGCTGATTTTTTAATTTATTGTAGAGATGAGGTCTCGCCTGCCCAGGCGGGTCTCGAACCCGCGGGCTCAGGCAATCCACTCACCTCAGCCTCCCAAAGGCGTGGAATTACAGGGTGAGCCACCGAGCCCGGCTCTTTTATTTATTTATTTATTTTTGAGTCAGAGTCTCACTCTGTCTCCCGGGCTGGAGTACAGTAGCATGCTCACAGCTACAGCAGCCTCAACCTACTGGGCTCGGGTAATTCTTCTGCCTCAGCCTGCCAAGTAGCTGGAACCACAGGCACACACCACCACGCCTGACTAGTTTTTTGATTTATTGTAGAGACAAGGTCTCGCCAAGGTGCCTAGGCTGGTCTCGAACCCAAAGTGCTAGGATGACAACTGTTGACTTTCAAAAATCCAGAGGAGGGCATGGAGCCCTTAGGAAGAATAGAGGGGAGTGGGCGGCCCCAACACACCAAAGCCTTCAGGGGGCCGTGGCAACAGTGCAGGAAGGCTCCAAGATAGACCTGGCGGTGGCTCTTCTAACCTAAGGGAGGAGCAGCTTCTCCCTCCTCCCTCAAGTGTTGTCCAGACTCTTACGCCAGGGTCCAGAACACAGTGAGTCACGCTTATGTTATCCAAGTGTAGGAGATAAATAGGGCTCAGCAATCCAACTTGATAAGTGCCCCAACCTTGAAGCTTTTTAAGGTTCCGCCCCGCCAACCTAGGTCCAATGCTGTGGGCTGGTTGGAGCCGCCCCGTGAGCCAGTGATGTCAGTTTAATGGCAATCCTGAAATCCTTCAGGATCAAATGGTAAGCTCTTTCTTTTTTTTTTTCCCTCTCAGGAAAATGGCAGACAGTTTTTCGGTAAGTGTTTTATGCTGGTTTTCTTACCCTAATATGTAGACAAGGGAGACCCAAAAAACCCAGAATTTATTTATAAAAAATTGTGTATTATTCTTACATGTTTAAACTTCAGTCACCTTCAAAGTCCTCTCCATTTGATGCAATTCACCTATCGAGATGCCTTTTCCACAGCTCAAAACAGTTTTTGAACTCAATTTTTTTTTTTTTTGGTTGGAGTCTTCATGCCGTTGCCCAGGCTGGAGCGTAGTGGTACACCACAGCCACTGCAGCCTCGACATGCTGGGCTCAGGCGATCCTTGGCCTTCCAAGTAACTGGAACTACAGGCACGAGTCACCACGCCCAGCTATTTTTTTTTTTTTTTTTGATTCATTGTAGAGACGTGATCTCGAACCCCTGATCTCGGGTAGTCCTTTCGCCTCGGCCTCCCAAAGTATTGGGATTATAGGCTTGAGCCACCGCACCCGGCCTGAACTCAATTTTTATGCCTTTTAGTGCTTCTGCCGTGTTTTGAATCACCTCTTCCACGTCAGCAAAACGTGGAAGAGGTGACTCGTCCAGGGAAACAAAAAACTTCACTCGGGGTGAGATGGGGGAAGAGGAGGGATGGGGCACAGGGCCATTTTGTTTTTGGCTAAAAACTGCTGAACACTTAGTGCAGTATGGGCAGGTACCTGTTTGCCAGAGCTTGTGACGCGTCTTCCTTAAGTTGTGCCACAACCTTTGGCTGATGGCTTGACCTGAGTGCACACCAACAGGCCCGCCCTCCCAAAGATAGTGCTGGGTTTTTTGGGGTCCCCTCGTACATGCCATGTGGTTGAGGGTTTTGTTTTTACCGCAACTTTCTCTCTTCCCTCTCCCACTATGGCTTCCCCCGGACTGACTTGTCCAAGGAGGGCTTATTTGTTGGAGCCTCGTTTGGAAGAAAGCCAGGCAGAGAGGCGACCTGGGGCTCCCAGCAACAGCAGCCTCTGGGGGGTGTGGTGGAGCTGAGAGTCCTCTGAGCAGCAGGCGGGGTGGGCAGGCTGTGTCTGTGGCTGTTTTTCTCCCGTCCCTTGGAGAGCATCGCCACAGAGAGTGGCGAGAGGGCTTCCTGCCGCGAGCGGGGGACCCTCGTGCAGCCCTCCCTAGCCAGGGATGGTGGAGGCGAGAATGGGGTGGAAAAGCCACTTGGTGCCAATGTCTGATTTCGGCCTTTGAACTCAAAACTATTAAGAGGTGGGAGAGAGCTTATTGATGTGCATTTTAAGCCTTTACCAGTTCCTCCACTTCTTAGAGCCCATGTTCTTCTTTTCCAGAAAATTCCGTTTCTGTGAATGTTTCTGATCTTGTAATTGTTTGTTTTTCTTTTCAGCTTAATGATGCGTTATCTGGGTCTGGAAACCCAAACCCTCAGGGATGGCCTGGTCAGTGGGGAAACCAGCCCGCTGGGGCAGGGGGCTATCCAGGGGCCCATCCTTATCCTGGGGCCTACCCTGGACAGGCTCCTCCAGGGGCCTACCCTGGCCAGGCACCCCCGGCCGCCTACCCTGGCCAGGCACCCCCGGCTGCCTACCCTGGCCCAACGGCACCAGGAACTTATCCCGGACCACCCGCACCCGGAGCCTACCCGGGGCAGCCTGGCGGGCCTGGGGCCTACCCGCCGCCCGCCCAGCCAAGTGCTCCCGGAGCCTACCCGGCTGCTGGCCCCTTTGGTGTTCCCGCTGGGCCACTGGTGAGATGGTGTTTGTCATTTCGTGTGCTTGAGGGGCCGAGGGCTTCAGGGAGATCCCAAGCTTTAAGCCTGCTGCTGAGAGCCACTTCTCAAGGGTGAATGTTGGTTCGGTAGAAATAAATGTTCACATAGAGAGCTTTTTGCATGTGCTGTGCACAGAGAAGGCTAGGCATCCTTTGGAGGCATTGGTAAAGCTGCTTTAATGTTAAACAAGTTAAGACTGGAGTAACAGGGTCAGGTGTGGTGGCTCTCGCCTGTCACCCTAGCACCTTTGGAGGTCAAGGTGGGAGAATCATTTGAGTCCTGGAGTTTGAGGCCAGCCTGGTCAACATAGTGAGACCTTGTCTCTTCCAAAAAATTTAAAAATTAGCCGGATGTGGTAGTGCGTGCCTGTGGTCCCAGCTCCTTGGGAGGCTGAGCCGGAAGGATCGCCTGAGCCTAGCAGGCCGAGGCTGCAGTGGCTGTGAGCGTGCACTGCCACTGAACGGCAGAGGGAGATTCTGACTCAAAAACACAACAAATCAAAACAAAAAGAAAGAGTGGCACAAAAATGGTAGCATGGTCTCGAGGTCTAGTTTAAGCCTTTCCAAAAACTAGTCTGCGTGTTTGAGCGGCAGATGTGGGTGGCCCTTGCCATGAGAGTGACTGGTGGCTTGGTTTTCAGTTCTGTGTGTGTGGGAAGACTCTCTGTGGCCCTGGGCTTACAGGAGGGCGGGTGTGTTTTACACATATTCAGGGCCTGACCGTTAGCCACGTCCTTCTTCTTCCCCTGGAAGCATGCCTCCTTATGGATCCTTGTGTCCTTGTTCGTTCCCAGACCGTGCCCTATGAACTGCCTCTGCCTGCGGGAGTTATGCCTCGCATGCTGATCACCATCCTGGGCACGGTGAAGCCCAACGCAAACCGGTAAGCAGAGCGCAGCCAACAAGCCTGTTTGGGGCTTGGTTTTCTAATAAAGAATGACCGATTTTTGTTTTGTTTTGTTTTGTTTTTTGAGTCGGGGTCTCACTCTGTCTCCCGGACTGGAATGCAGTGGCCGCTCCCGGCCACCGCAGCCTCGACCTGCTGGGCTCCGGTGATCCTTCCGCCTCAGCCTTCCAAGGAGCTGGAACTACAGGCGCGCGCTGCCATGCCCAGCTAATTTTTTGATTTATTGAAGAGATGAGGTCTCGCCAAGTTGCCCAGGCGGGTCTCGAACCCTGGGCTCAGGCAATCCTCTCACCTCAGCCTCCCAAAGTGCTGGGATTACAGCTGAGCCACCGAGCCCTGCAA